TGCTCTGTTGCTCCTGTTAGTATTTACACAGGTCATCCAGCTGCTTCCTAAGCACATGGAACAGAAACAGCTCAGGATAATTTCTGTGGGTTTATGTTTACTTTTTGCAGGTATCCCACCTACACTTAGTAACAACTCCTATTTCTTCCACAAACTAAAGGAGATGATCTGATTTTTGGAAGAAGTCACACACAGACAACACAACTCAAAACTGTGCATTGTTTTAAAATGCACTGAATTTGGGGTTCTGGGTTTTATGAAATATGTTCCAGTGTTCTCAGACATCTTTGCAGTGAAGTTAGAGCTTCTCTGTTTGAACTCTGTGGCAGAGTATCAGCACTGAAGGTGATAATCAGGAATATATTGATACCCACCTCTGCCACACCAGCCCCCTCCATGAGCTAATATGACTTGTGATCACAGCAGGAAACTTGGAAGGAAAAATAAATAATCCTCCTCTGAGTTGCTGAGTTGGAGCAGTTGGAAGAGTCTGTCAAGGTCCCAGTAGCACATTGGGAGCTGTAGGGGACAAAGGAAGAGCAAAACCTCTCCCTTGAGGTGGGAGGAAGCCCTGAGTTAGCTGAGGAGATGATGCAGCTGTAACCCCAGACTGCTGGGAGGTGTGTTTTTCTTAACAAAAACGTTGCACAATGTTAGATCACATCAACCCCAGTGTTAGGGGCCAAAATTCCTGACGGGATTCCTGACAGGACTGGTGTGCTTCTGGTGTGTGCTGAGCTATGACAGCTCTTGGGTTTCTCAGCTCAAAGCCCTGCCTGTCCCAGTGCAGTGTGTGACAAAGCCCCTGCTCTCCCTGCTGCTCCCCAGGGCTCTGCAGGTGTGGGTAACACACCCTCAGGCTGGGAGGTGCCACGGGTTGCACTTGGGTAGATCCCCTGATTTTTAGGTGCCAGGTGGGTTCTCCACCAGTCACAGCCCACACAGAGCAGTTCTGCCCCACTGCCAGGTTCCTCCAGAGCTGTCCCTTCCCTCCTCCCCTCCTGGCACTGTGTGTCCATGGAGCCAAACCCCAATGATTAACGGGCTGTTCCTCCTTGCAGGGCGAAGACAGCACTCCAGCAGTACCTTGCATGATCAAAGACTAATTGAATCCATGGACACCCCTCATGTCTCCTTAAGGAACAGCAGGAGATACTCCTGACTCCTTATATTTGCACAAGTCACCTTGGGCTGCATTTTTCTCAGGTGCAGGGAGCTGCTTTGCAGAAACAGTTCAAATGATCAGGTCTCCAGTGCACTTGAGAACTTTCTTGAGGTAGTTTCTTTACTCAGAGGACTCTCGGGGGGTTGTTTTGGTTTTTTGGGTTTTTTTCCTGAGCTACCTGGACTTTGGATAGAACAATCAGTCATTGTTTTCCTTTTGGGCCTCCAATTTTCTGCTTTTGCTGCAGCCTGTGTGTGTGGGTGTGTGCTTGGGTGTGTGTGTGCTTGGGTGAGTGTGGGTGGGTGTGAGGACTCACTTTTGGTTTTCCTTTTTTTTGTGTGAAAATCTTTTTCTACAGGTTTTCAAGGGTTAACCATTGTTTGCTGTACGAATACTTCAGTGAATTATATACAGTTTGAATGAAATGTTATTTAAAAAAAAAAAACCAAACTGTTGTATCCCATAAAGTTTATTTTGAATTTTGAACAGATGAATGTTTTTAAGTAAAATATATGCATTTCTGAACTTCAGCTTAACTTACATTATACTTCCTTTTTAAAGAGAGAAATAGAGGAAGGCAGTAGACCCCAAATTCCAAGCAGCACATTCTGTACTGACAAGATCAAAGAGTTCTTTACTACAATGCAAGGTCACTGGTACTGATAACAGGCTCAAATCCGTGGAATGGGTCAGCTGGATTGGGTTTGGGTTTCTTTACATTTCTAGAAGACAAGCTCATACTTCAGGGTTAGGGGCACTGTTGGCTGTTGTGGGAAGGAGCACATGGCTGCAGGATCAGCAGGAATAAGCTTTGCTTTCCTAGTCAGGAACTCGCTCAGCTAATTGCTGAGGGATTGGCTTGTTCAGGGGAGAGGGATTTGCTGATCACTGGTACCAGCAGAGCAAACAGTGTGGTGCAGAATTCACTTGGCAGAGAGCAGAAGGAGCTGCCAAGCAGTGGTTAAGGGATTGCTTTTGTTCTGCATCCTTTGCCTCCACAAAGAGTTAAGTGACTTCCACATCATCTCCACAAAGGATCTGCTGGGAGCATGAAGTTGGGGGAGGGATGGAAAAACCAGGGCTTTGGTTGGGTTTTGTTTTCTGGCTCAGCAGTGTTGCTGCAGATCCCTGTACATAGGCAGATACACACTTGCATGGATTTAGATTCCTGGATAACGAGGATGGGGTTGGAGTGTGATGGGGTTGGACTGCACCTGGAGGCCTTGGCTGTGCCTGGGACTGTGCCTGGAAGTGTGGGGAAGCAAACACGAGTGCAGACCAAGGCTGTAGGAGGTTAGGCTGGAATGGGAGAGCCCAGCAGGGCAGCAGGAGCCTCCTGGGGTGCAGTCCAGGGCTCTGGGCCCTTTGGGGTTCAGTTTAGCCCGTGGTTAAGCCAGACTCTGCAGACACTCCATAGCACTAACAGGCACTAGGGATTGCAGTCAATGGCTTAAACCAAATCTTTCTTCTACACTGAACTTTAGTGGGGCTGCAGCAAGAAGAGAGGTCTGTAACTTTGCTAACCAATTTTGATAAGTATCTAAATCTTCTGTTTCTGATCAGAAGGTCAAATTGTGACAGCCTTACTTTTCTTCCAAGGTAACTACTTGTGTCAGAAAATGTGACCACAGTTTGGCCTGGAATTTGAATGTGCTGTGTATCAGATAACTGTTATCACTTGGTTGCAAAGGACAATATCTACATTTCATGTAACTTCTTCCACTCTCAAAGACAAATAAAAGCGAGCACCTGACACTTTTTCCCCAGGCATTGCAGTAAGTGACTGGCAGTTTTTTAATGTCCTTCTGCAAATGTTTCATGATGGACTTTGGGGGTTGAACAAAAGGGAAAGTAAAAATATGTGAGAACTTGTTAAATCTCAGTACCTCAGAAGCAAAGTCTTGTTTATAAGATTGAATCAAATATATTTTTGCCTGAACTGAGAAGGAGGTTCTGAGGCAAGTGTTGTAAGTGCAAAACTGTCCAATGTGCTCCAGTTGCACTCCTGTGTTTGTTCAGGAGCTCAAGTTCTTCTGTATCTCTTCTCTTCCTTCCCCAACTCACATTTCTAAAAGAAAATCTGATTTTGATTCTGTAGAACTTTGGTGCCTAAAAGTGTTCAGAAAAAAGGTGAGTAAAAGTATCTCTGTACAAGTTTTGAGGTGGTTTCCTACAATTCTGCCAGAAAAACTAAAAACCAATGCTCAGACAATCTCGTTGCTGCATGAGAACAGTTGAAATTTTCCACAGGTATTGAGAGGACAAACTGTTGGATGAGAACATTTTTACATTCAGTTAAGCTTTGTGAATAATTTTTGATGTTGCTATAGGTATGTACAAAAAGAAGAATACTGTAAATAAAGAGAACTTTACCAGAACATGGAGATTTTTCTCAGCTTCCTGGAGAAATCTGAGCTCTCTGTGCCTGCCTCTCTACAGCCTGAGAGTCACAGTGGGAACAGACGTTGCAGGTCACCCAGAGCTTTCCCAACTTAATGAGGTGGCAGCAGCTTGTGAATGCCAGGGCTGTGTGCAGAACCCAAGCAGAGTTTGTCTGGACATCATGTGAATCATCAGGATTTCTGCTCTTCTTGTGCCATTTCTCTGCTGAAAACCCACCCTGATGAATTTTGATAAGTATGTCCTCTCTTTATGTCTGGGTCTAGTGCTGGGAGTCCCTCTTGCAGAGGTTACACCTGTCAACAAAGTGAATTTGGGGCAGGAGCTGTCAGACAAGTGAGACCTTTGGCTGCTCCCCACCACCTTCATTCCACGTTTGGACTGTCTTTCCCACACAGAAAATCCCGTGAGACACAATCTGGCTGTTCTAGGCACAGATTTGCATTGTGGCAGTGACAGAAGCCAAAGCTTAAAGCACCTTGTGCCAGGACCTTCCTGAGGCAGACATTTCACATTTTTTAAAATATATTTTTCCAGACTTTACCCATTGCAGCAGCAGCTGTGCCTCCACAGAACTGCTGAGGCAGTGACACGACAGACAGAGGAATAATTGAGGGGCATGAAATTAGATTCTTGAGTAGAAATGGGTTGTCTTTGGTACTCCTGAAATGTGAGAGGTGTCAACGTGCAGAATTACAGAAGTGGTTGAAGACATCAGGGCTCTTCTGCAGGCTGGTTTCAGCAAAAAGAGACATGTTGGGGGGATTGATGTACCAAAAACTGAACCCCCACCCAGGAGGGACCATGGTCAGCTGGAGGACCAGGCCAGCACCTCGTGTGCTGCGTGATGAGATGCAGCACAGCAGGGTCTGCCCAGGACCCCATGGGCACAGATGGGGTGAGCCAAAACCTGGCAGGGGCTGGGCACTGGCACTGCTCTCTCTGCAAAGAAGGGAAAAACCAACCAGCCTCCCCAAACTGAGCTGTGTTTGGGGCTGGGACAGCAGATCCTCCCCAAACTGAGCTGTGTTTGGGGCTGGGACAGCAGGTTATCC